CAGTCGCCCCAGGTGGCACGATCCAACTTACTGGAGAGGGAGGACCGTCCAGGGCCCCCGGCAGGTCAGCACTGCCCAGCCAGCTCATCCTCCGGGACCCAGGTTGGGAGCTTTGCAGGGGCCTCTTGGCCTTTTGCCTGGGGGGCCTCCATCCCTCCTAGAGGCTGACTTCTGCCTCCCCCACTGGAACCCACCGCTTCCGGTTGGAGGCCTCCTCTGCGCCTAGCCACTGATCTCCCCCCACGCACTGTGGCCCAGGCCGGCTTCGTGGGGACCCTCCACATCCGCCTCCCCACCCTGCACGCTCTGGCCGGCCCAGCCCCACCCCAGGCCCCACCCCCTCCCCCCAGGCACGCCCACCTCCTCTGTGCTCGGGGCACTGGGGGGCACTGGGTCCCACCCCTCCCGCCTAGATATCAGCACCAGTGGCCCCCTGGGCACCCACTCCCCCGGCCCCCGACCCCTCCGTCCTCCTGGTGACTCCACGATTATGGGCTCCACGAGGCCTAGGATGCAGATGGGACCCAGGGATGTTCTTGAACCCCCTCTGGGGACGAAGGTGGTCACTACGCACAGGCCTAAGCCTGTGCACCCTAACACTGTACTCATGTGTGACCCCACTGCCACCATGGCAGGTGGGGGGCCCAACCAAGCAGCCAGCGGGGGTCGGGGGACAGAGCTGGAGAGCATGGTGGGCAGGGCACACCTCTTCCTCCATCTGCCCCTCCCAGTTCGGGGCTCCTCCCCATCACCCCCCCCTCGGGGGCTGAGTCATTGGGAAGCCCCACGTGCTGCTGTGACCTTTGGGGGAAGGGTGAGTCACACGGCAGTGGCAGTCACAGTACATGGGCGGGATGTCCTGAGAGACCAGGTCAGGCACAGGTGTGCCCAGCCAGAACACACATGGTGTGCTTACAGATCTACTTGCACAACACAGACGCCATGCACAGGCACACCCCCTCAGGCACAGCAGGTGTGCGCACACACCCCCACGCTGTGCGCACCATCTTTGTGGCCGGATGGATGGGTCCCCCTGGCCCTTTTAGGAGGGGGCCGGGGTGGCCGCTGAGCGGCCTGGACTGGCAGGGGCGAGGCTGGGCTCTGGGATGGGAGTGCCCCGGCCTCAGTGAGAGCCTCAGGCACCCCGAAGGACCTCCTCCCGTGTGGGGCACTTCGTTCCGCTCCAGCCCATCGCTCCTGCCTGGTCTCGACCTGTCTTGGCCGGAGGAGCAGCGAGCAGCCCCTCGCGAGCCAGTCAAGGGCCAGCGCGCCCGTGTACTTTCAGCCTCACATGGCAGCCCCCCAGGGTCAGGATCCCTGGCCCCTCCTGGAGGCCCTCCTCACCACAGGGTCCCAGGGCCCCACCACCGGACAGGTACACCTCCTCACCCATCCCCATGGGCCCCGGGACCTGGCGGGGCCCTGGTGGGGACCGTGGAAACCAAACCGCAGGGAACAGGGCAGACACCTGGGCTGACGCCCCAGGGGCCAACATCTCCATCCCCTCTGCCCACCGCTGGGTGGCCAGCGGTTCAGGGGGGTCACTGAACAGTGTTCCTTGTTCCTGCACGAGGAGCCTGAGGAACTTGGCTCAGGGCAGCCCTGCAGGGTGGAGCAGGGCAGCCTGAGGGCCCTGGCCAGGTGCCATCCTCTCCAGCAGGTGGGTGGTGCTGGTGACTTTGGGGTCCCCTGTCCACCCCAGGGCCTGACTTAGATAAGGGCAGGCAGTCTCCTGACAGGAAGGTGGATGGGAAGGACCAGAGGCCAGATCGGAACCAGCTCAGCTCTGATGATAGGGTCCTGCTGGACACCCCCTCCCACCTATGGGATAGGCCCAGGTTTCTGTTTATGACCTTGGGTGGGTCCCTGACCTCCCCAAGGCTTAACTTCCTGACTTGGCTCATTGGGTGCTGGGTACAGGTGACCCACTCCCAAAGGAGCCCCCTATTTACCCAGTGGGACCCACCCCACCTGGGCCAGCAGCTGGGGCCCAGCTTCCCAGGAAGGACTTTCTGGCAGGGACCACGTGAGTGGAAGGGAAATGCCCAGTGCAGGGGCAGCAGGCCTTGCCTCCACCAGCCCGTCCAGGCCTGACTGCCAGGAACCCCGGGAGGTGGGTGTCAGCGCAGAGCTCATGTTTTGCCAAGGCTGCCTGGAAAGCTGACAGCCTCGAGGTCATGTGCTGGAGGCTCAGGCTGAACCCCCAAGGGCCTCTGTGGGGAGAAGAGGACCACTGAGAAACCCTGGAGCTGTGGTGCCGGCTCCCCCACGCCCAGCCACAGCCAGTGGTCAGAGCATGACGGACAGAGGCCTGGCGAGCTCCTACCCACCCCCTTGGCTGCGTGGCAGGTGCCAGGCCCAACCACCCTCCGGGCCCCCCGTGGCCCAGAGCATCCCTCCACATGTCCTCGCAGAGGCCTGTGTGCCTCCAGCTGGCGTGGCAGCCCTTCCTGGCCCCTCAGGGGGCCTCGCGTGGTGCCAGTGTCCACAGACCAGCTGAAGGCCTCTTGGCGGCCAGCTGCCTGGGCCCCGCAGCCTGCCTCGCGATCCACCGTCCCCTCACATCCCTGCCAGCTGGGGTCTGGGTGCCCAGGAAGGATGGGGGGCCTCCCAGGGTCCTGCCAGGGATGGGAAAGTTGCTGAATTTTCTGAGCAGCTTGGGGACCAGAGACATGCCAAGGTTTCCTTCTGGGAGCTGCGCCCGAGGAAAGAAACTTCGCGAGGCCCTGACAGGGGCAGGTTGGTGGGGATGTGCATCCTGGCCTCTCTTCCGGTGGAGCTGGGTCAGCCCTGGCAGGTGGGCAAGGGACCAGGGCACGCAGCCTGTAGTGGGAGAGTGGCAGCTAAGCCATACCTGGCCACGGCGTGGGCACAGCTGGCACCTGGCAACCCTCGGGCTGGCCATGAGCATACCAAGCAAAGCCTGTCTCAGGCCCAGCTGACAGCCCCAGGAGGGCACATGGCCTGTCCAGCAGGTGGCAGGAGCATCTGAACAGGGGTTGTGCCCACCAAGCATGTTCAGATCCTGAGTCTTTCTATGGTGAGTTCTGGGTTCTGTGTGACCACAAGGAAAGTCCCTGAGGTTGGACGCTATTCAGAACTCGACCTAGTGGTTCTAAAGGAGACTCGATATTAAATTGGTCCAGATATTGACAGAGATGAGGCACTGGCCTGGGAAGGCTGTCAGAGCCACTGGGGTTGGTGGTGCAGGAACCCAGGCCTGCCTAGGAGCTGGCGGCCCAGAGGGGAAGGAGGGCAGGACAGGGTTTCGGGGATTGGTCCCCCAGTGCAGACTTCAGGCTGCCGGAGTCCCTGCTCCAGCCCCAAGCTGTCCAATGTCCCAGCCTGGGGATGGTGAGGGTCCTGCATGTGGGAACAACCCCATCCTGGCCCAAAGAGGCCCTGGGTCAGAGAAGACCTTCTCCTGGCCCCCAGCCCCCAGGCTCCTTAGGGCTGGTGCTGACAAGCAGAACAGATCCTATCCCAGGTGACGGGGTTCTGCAAGCTTTAGGACCCCCTAAAGCTTGGCATAAGCGCACTGCCCCTGGGCACTGATGCATCTCTTCCTTGGCAGCCTCCTGGCCATGAGGACAGCTGGGGTGGGACGCTGGCCCACCCTGGGTCCCACAGACAGCCCACCCTGTGCACACACAGTCACTCGACCCTGAGTGGGTACTGGGGTCCTCAAGGCTGCCCAGGCAGGATCTGGGGGGCTGCAGGACCCCCAGCCAGCAGGGGCAGGGGGTGCAGGCCAGCTGGAGCTCTAAGTTTGTTTCTGGGGGCAGGGCTGGGGGGCCGGGAGTCACCTGCGGAGGTTGCAGAGTGGACAGACTTAAGCAGCTCCATGTGTGGGGCTGGCACATGTCCTGGAAGTGTGGCCACCCTGGGGGCTTCGGCTCTCACCATGCAGGGTGCCCACCCCCCCCACCCGCTGGGCCATGGCCTCCTGTCCCGCAGTTCCTCCTCCTCGGAAGGCTCCAGGTGAGAGCCCCTGCGCCTTCCCACCGGGCTGCAAGCTCCAGGGCACCAGCGCAGGGTGTCTGGACACAGCCCGGGGCTTGACTTGGGATCCTCCCCACAGTGCAAGCGGGCCTGGTGGGCAGTCCAGTGGGTGGACAAGCAGATGGGTGAATATAGGGGGCTGCCCAGCACGAGAAGATGCATCCTCTGCCAGCAAGTGCGGGAGCTGGGATCACAGCGACATGCGAGCCACTGTCACCAAGACGGGGCGCGCCAGGGATACTGGTGCTCAGCCCTCTCCAAGGGCTCCCCTAGGAACTCCAGCTCACAGGCCCAGTCTGCCCGCGGTCCACCCCCTGGAAGGAGCACCCCGGGGCTTGCAGGCTAGGACCACGGGACAGGCGCTGTTTCTCCTCACACCCTGCTCGCTGTGGAGCCTATGGGAAGCGGCCACCCCTAAAGAACAACTCCCAGGTCCCAGGCAGGTCACACACTGACCCCCGGGACGGCCAGGAGCAAGCCAGGAGCCCCCACCTAGCACTGTACCCCTCTACCTGTCAGCCAGGCCAGACTGCTCTCAGGACCCGCTCCCCTGCCCCTGAACCACCCTCCCAGTCCCTACCCCTGGCAGTCCTCACCCTTCAGAAACCCTTCCTGTCCTCTGGGGCAGCACGGATCCACCATGCACACCTCCGAGTGACCTGAGCAGGGGCCATTTCCTCTTTCTACCCAGCTGGGCCTCCTGAGAACAGGCCCTACAGCAGCCCCCTCAAACATGCCTCCAGACCAATGGCAGCAATGCCACCCCTGGGGCCTAGTGCCCACTCACCTCCCATAGGCCCCTGACAACATGGCCCCACTGCCCTTGGCGCAGTGGGGGCAGTGGACAGGGCGACAAGAGGCCAAGAGCTGCACCCGGCCCCTCTGGCCTGCCTCTTCCTCATAGGAAATGGGGGCAGGGCAGGGCCACCCAGTTACCAGAGGTGCCTCCCCAGGACTTCTCCCACCCCAGACCCACAGACCAGTAAACACAGACTAGCTGCTACATACAAAACAATTTAATTGAAATACCTGTATAAAAAATATGATCTCCAGACATCTTGCTTTTGAACTGAAACCCCATCCACGAGGCCCACACCGGGATCACAGAAACAGAGCTGCTGAAATAAATTAAAGGCTTGAGACTCTGTCCCCCACCCTCCAGCTTCCAGAGCCAACAAGCGACTGTACAAGGTCAATAATTTAAAACCCACCCCCGGGCAGAGAGCCTCCAGGTGGCAGCCACCCACTCCCTTAAATTAGCTGCTGTACAAGTCTACCTTCCGACAGACACAGGTAGGACTGGGACCTGAGGTCCACACACAGCCACACCTCGGAGCCCAGGGGCCTGGAGGCAGCAGGGCTGCTGGAAGGGAAGAACCTCAACAAATAAATTAAACAATAAATAGCCCTCCTCTGGGGTCACACCATAAATAACAGACGTGCGCACGCAGGGCGTGCGGGTGGGCAGCAGGGGCCCCAACATTGCATTGCTCGTGCACAGATACGCCCAAAACAGGGCAGCACAGGAGGTGGGCAGGGGGCCTGAGTGCTTCTGGTTCAGCCCAGTCAACAGGGAGGCCTGAGGGCAGAGGCCAGCTCCCCGGGCAGCACGGAGGAGGGATGATCTCCATTAGGGCCCCGCCCTGGGCAGCCAGGCCTTTGCTTCCACCAGAGCGTCTTTGGACAGAGGATGAGACACCAAGTCCCGTGAAAGCAGCTTTCATGAAGGCACTCAAAGCAGAGGAAACGCCCCGAGCCAAAGGCTAAGTCCCAGGGGCCAGAGGTCATCGCTTTTGCAGGGAACAGGCAGTCCAGCTGGGGCAAGTGGTCCCTTTGGCTCCCATGGACAGACGCAGGCCGCCCTCACAAGCTCTCGCTGCTGGAGGTGGTGCTGGCCCCGTCGTCGGCGTCTAGGCCACAGAGCCGCAGGTCACAGCTCTCCGAGGGACACCCATCGGCCCCCAGCATCCAGGGGTGGGCAGAGATCTGGTCCAGCGAGGGCCGCTCCGAGGGCCGCAGGGACAGACACCACTGAATGAGCTGCTGGCACTCTGGGGGAAGGAGGGAGCGTCAGAGGGGGGCTGGCTCCTCTGAGCCCTGCGCCAGCTGGCCCAGCCCCCAACACACCTGGGGAAACCCTCCTGCGGAAGGACAGGCGGCCGCGAAGAATCTCTTCATCCTGCTCGAAGGGAATGTCCCCGCACACCATGTCGTAGAGCAGCACGCCCAACGACCACACGGTGGCCGAGCGCCCGTGGTAGCGGTGGTAACGGATCCACTCCGGGGGGCTGTACACCCGGGTGCCTGGAGGGCACACGGGGGTTAGGAGCCCACCCGGGGCGGCGCCCGCAACCCTGAGCTCCCAGTTCGCCACGTCCTCAGATCCTGCGAGTCATCACCCTGGAAAAACCCCGCGGGCGCCCCGCCCGGTCGGCGGAGGAGGAGCGGTCACATGAGCCGGCGCTCGGGTTTCACAACAAACAGATGTGAGCTGACGCCGGGCGGGGGCCTGGGCTTCCCCACGCCCTGCAATGCGGGCTCTCGCCCCCGGCGCACGCGCGCCACCGGCCGCCTGCAACCCCCGCCCCCACCGCGGCCGCCAACAGTCACCTTCCCCGGCGCCGCGGGCGTTACGCGCCCGAACGCTCACCGTCGAAGTCGGTGTAGACCGTGTCCTTGAGCAGCGCGCCCGAGCCGAAGTCGATAAGCTTGAGCTCTCCGGAGCGCAGGTCCACGAGCAGGTTCTCGTCCTTGATGTCACGGTGCACAACGCCGCAGCCGTGGCAGTGGCGCACGGCCGCCAACACCTGCGCGAAAAAGCGCCGCGCCAGCGGCTCGGCGAGCGCCCCGCGCTCCGTGATGAAGTCGAAGAGGTCCTGCGCCGGCTCGGGCCGCTCCAGCACCAGCAGGAAGCCGTCGGGCCGCTCGAACCAATCCAGCAGGCGGATGACGCCGCGCACGCCGCCCGCCGCGCCCACCTTGCGCAGGAGGACCACCTCGAGGGGCGCGGCCGCGCCGCCCTGGGGACACGGCTGTCAGCGCGAGGCCCGCCCGCAGCCCCGCCCGGCGCCCCGCGGCCCGCCCGGCGCCCCGCACTCACGATGCTGCCCCACTCGGTCACCCGCTCCTTCACCACGTGCTTCACGGCCACCTGCGGGGGGTGCGACTGGTCAGGCCCGCAGAGCCGCGACGACACGCGCGGTGGGCGAGACCCGCGTCCATACGCGGCTCCACTCACCGGGAGGCCATCGGCGATGCGACTGCCCGCGTAGACAGTGCCGAAGCCGCCGCTGCCAAGCACGGCGCCCACCTGGTACACTTTCTCGAAGCTCTCCTTGTCCGCTTTTGCTATGGAGACGGCGCAGAGGCGAGGTTGGTGCGGCCCCGGTCCCCAAAACCCTGCCCCCGGCGCCCCCAGACCTCCAGGCCCCGCGCGCACCTGGTTGCAGGATCTTCACCGGGAGGTGGTCCACACCGCCCTGCCCGCAGAGGTGCGCCAGAGAACCGAACTTGGACAGCAACATCGCGGACGTCGGCAGGGCGCGGGCCCGCGGCCTCCGGGCTCTGCGCCGCCTCTCGTCCGGCCCGGCTCCCCGTGCGGCCGCGGACACGGAAGGGCGGCCGCCCCGGACCGCGCGGAGCCCGAGTCCCGGACAGCGGCCGCGGCGGCAGGGCGAGCGCGGGGGCACAGGCCCTCGGGGAGCCGAGACCCGCTCGGGCGAGGCCGTCCGCGCGGCGCAGAGCCCGAGCCGACCCGGCGTGGACGGCGTGGACGCACAGCCGCCGAGGCGCTCGCACGCCCGACCGCCTCGCCCCGGGGTTTTGGGTAGCGGTGGCCCGTATCCTTCCGCGGAGGCGGGGAGCACCGAGTCCCCGCCCCTCACGTCGGGGGCCGCGCGTTGGGGAGCACCCAGTAAACGCGCGCGAGCGGCCAAGGCGAGAGCGAGGTGAAGCTAGGCGCCGCCACCCCGGGTGGGCGAGACCCGGAGGCGTGGGACGCGGCAAGCCGTCCTGGACTACCTCGTTGTGGTAGAGCCGCGGAGGCGCACGGCGTGTCGTGGCACACCACGGCCCTCCGCGCACTCACACACATCCTGCGCACGCGCAGTTCCCGCGCGAGCGGTAGCCTTAGCGCGTGGGGCGGGGCAGACGGAGCCAATGGGAACCGAGCTTTTCAAAGGACCTTGGGCCCCAGCCAATGAGGGAGTGTTTGAGGGGCGGGGGCTCGTGGCCCCGCCCCAGGCCGCGCCAATGCAGGTCGGGTAGCTCGAGCGCCTTTCTAAGTGGAGTCTGGAGCGGGCGACTGTAGCTCAGGGCCTGTGGGCAGCAGTGTTCTGCGGAGCGACGCTCCCCGCCGTCCTGGACCGTGCGCATGCATGTGCGTCTCCGGCAGATCGCAAACCCCTGCACGCAAGTGGCTTGGTGCTGGGAGGCGGAGCCGTCCCTCGGGGACGCCCGCTCAGCTGCCCCAAAGGGGCACGCTCAGCCCCCGGGCGTGGGCAGAGGGCCCACCCTGCCCCCGACGCCCCCTCCTTTCCACCCGGATGTCGTTCTGACCTGGGCGTGACCTCGAGCCTGCAGGCCGAGGTTCCTCCCTGATCACGCCCGATCTCCTTGGCACCTTTGCCCTGCTCTGCTTTTGCCTGGAGCTCCCTTCCTAGCTCCCGGGCCACCTGGCTGCCCTCCAGGCCCAGCTGCTGTCCACCTCTACTAGGGAGCCCACTTTGCCGCAGTCAGGACCCGAATCAGCCCGGGTCCACATGACTGTCCATACTGCCCTCTGTGTCCTGTGCCACAGACTCACCTGTGTGGTGTTATCCAACCCTACGGGTTGCCGACCTGTGCCCTAGCTCAGGGGCCAGAGCCGTGAGCTTGGGGCTGGGGAGGTGTGGGCAGCCATCTGCCAGTCCCCATGGCTGAGCCATGGGTGTCCACAGCCTCCCACCACAAGTCCCAGACAGGGTTGAGGTTTGGGGGAACTAAGAGGTCAAGGTACTGGGCCTTCTGGCACTGCAGGGGGCCAGGCTAGGATCTAATCATTGCAGCCACATCCCTGGGCCGCCTGGAATTGACTTCAGGTATGACCCCGCCTCCCCGCCGCCCCCCAAACATGTACCCGTGTTGGAGACCTGGACTGGCCTGCTGGCTTCCTCAGCACGCCCAGCTCCTCCAGGTCACACCCCTTCCTTGCCAGCGTCACTGTCCCAGGACAGAGTGGACCCTCCAGTGGTCCAGCTGGTTCCAGCCTTTGGGCGCTCTGTCCGCCACCTTCCTGCAATGTGGGTCCATGAAGGTGGGCCCAGGGCTGGCAGGTCAACCATGGGCCCCAGGCCAAGGCAGGGCCATGAAGGGGGTACCATCTAAGGTAGGATGTTGGGCTCACCCTTCAGCAGAACCCATACAGCACCTGTGCAGGAGGACGGGCTATTAGCCACTTGTGGGCCCTTCTAGAGGATCCGCAGAGGACCCCAGAGCAGATGCCCCAGACGGTGGGTCCCCTCAGGCTGTTATGGCCTCCGGGACCTGTGGCCTCTTGGGGCTGATAAAGGTGGAAGTGCTGGGTATGCCTGGGGTCTAGGTGGTGACCACAACTAGATGTGGTTCTGAGGGCAGGTCCAACTCCACGGAGAGGAGCCAAGGTCCCCAGTGGCCCCCCAGTGAGTGAGCCTCCAGGCTAGACCTCCTTGGGTGCCCTGGCCCATGGGCCCAACTGGTCCCTAGCCTTGGGAGTCAGCCTTGGGCAGCCAGCATCCTGGGAGGACCCTTTCCTTCAGAAAGGGTGGCCCACCCTCAACAGTCGGTCCTCTCCGAGCTCTGAAGGGGGGCTGGGCCATCTGTGGAAGGCTTGGAGGGCTCCTCCATAGTCAGGAAGGGTCCCCAGCCTGGTCTGGGGACAGAACACAGAGCAGGACGCAGCCTGTGTCCTCAGGTCTCCATAGAGCCTCCGTGTCTCCCAGACAGAGTCACGTGTGTTAAAGGTGTGCGGTTGCATGAATATGATGAATATGTGTGTGTGTCCATCCTGCACCCACTATGAGTTTTGGGACCTGGATCACTCCAACTCCCAACTAGTAGCTGCCATCTTCATTGAGGCCTCTTTCAGGCTCCATCTGGCCTGAGGAGTGGGCTGGGCAGGGTGCAGCCACTCTCTCCTTGTGCAGGGGGCAAAGCCGAATCGAGACTCAAGGGTCTTTTGCCCTTGAGAGGGACCCCAGGCCACCCCTTCCCCACAGGTCTGATCCATGCCTTTCCTGGCCATGTCCCTGGCCATGCAGGATGCCGGGCCAGCCTGTTTTTTCCTGGTTCCTGGAAGGCCCATCCGGTGGGCCTTAAAAATAGCTCTGGGCCCCACAGGCAACCCCAGCCGAGGCCAGCTACTCCTGGGCAGCAGAGTGGGGCCACTCCTGCAGATGGCAGGGAGAGGCCACCAGAAGGAGGACTTTACTGGGGGTGAGGCCGCATCCTTATCCTGCTGCTCCACTGGCTAGAGGGTCAGCCAAGTGCCCTGGCCTCCCACTACATTCAGGTACCTGAGGCTCAGGCCAGCGTAGTGTGGGTGCCCCCACCCATTGCTGCTCAGAGGGACAGCAGCACCTCAAGCCAAGGCCAGGTGCCTTGTCAAGTCTCTGTTCTCAAGGCAGGTGTTTCCTGAGGGGGGAGCAAGGAGGGTCCCGTGCCCCGCCCTGGAGGCAGCTGGCCCCTGCCCTGCCCAGCCAGCCTCACCCTGTTCTGCTGGTGGGAGGGGCTGTGCTGCTGCCATGGAACCTGGAGTCAGGCTGGCCCCCTCCAACTAGGAGGAAGGGGAGGATGGATGGAAGCTGGCCTGGGCCACTCACTCTGTCTGCCACACAGGTACCCATGCACACTCCTCACAAACACGAATGCACATGTCACGCATGCAAACACAGCCTCCCACACACTTATAAACATGCCCACAGAGTTGGGGAGAAAAGGGGACAGAAACATACTGGGGGATGTTCCCGCTGCTCCCCAGGTCCCCATCCCCCTGGCTTCCCAGGCTGCAGCCCCGTCCTAGGCCCTTTTCCCTTCCCCTGGGGTCTTGTCCACCCCAGTCCCCATGCCAGACCAAGGCCCCCTCAGTCTGCTACTTCCAGCTGCCCCTGCACACCCCACAGGTCAGCGCAGCCCTGCTTGGCCCTGGGCCTGGCCATGACTGGGGGTCCCCCCACCTGCTCCTATCCATCGCCGAGGCCTGTGACTCCGTCCCTCCTCCCAGCCTCCTCTTTACGCACCCCCACCCCCACATGCCATCTGGGCTCCTCTTTCTCCCCCTGTCCTGCCTGGGACCCTCCAGAGCTGCCCTGGGCCAGTAGGTGAGTCCCAGTGACTCGGCCTGCAGTCACAGCTGTCACCCAAGCCCCTCTGCCCTCTACTCCCATCGCAGGAACCCCTGGCCCACTGGGCCTGACCCCTTTCCAGTCCCCATGCCTGTCATAACAGCCCCCAAGATGGCACCTGACTCTTTGCCAGCCCCTGCCTGGCTCTGGAAGCTCTCTCCCGCGCAGTGCAGTGCCTGCGTGGAGGTGCAGCCCCGCTGCTGTGGGGAGGTGCCTCCAGCCTCTCACCTGCTGGGGATGGGGCCAGTAGAGCTGGGCCAGGGTTCTGCAGTGTTCCCCAAAGGCAACCTGGGGCAGGGCAAGATGGGGCATGAATCAGTGGTAGCCGGTGGGCAGCAGTGGCCTGCATGACTCTGGCCTCCCTGCCCAGGAGCCCCTGCCCAGCCTGATGCTTGGCCAAGGCAGCCTGTGTTGGCAGCTGTCACCCCTCCGGAGCCCCACTGCTGCCACCGTAGAGCGTTTACCAAACAGGCCGCCTGTGGCCCGGCAGCCAGCACCTGGACTTTCGGCCAAGGGGATCCTGAAAAAGCAAAGGTGCTGTGGGAGCGCCCAGACCTGACCCGGGTAGAGGCTGGGTGCCCAGGGGAGCCAACCCCAGACACAGCTGGCCGGCGGGGGCCAGCAGGGGCGGGTGATGGGACTCTGCCCAGGCCCCAGGGGTCCTCCCTCTTACCCAGAGTCTCTGGCCAGGGCCAGGAGGTGGGTACAATGTTTGCACTAGGCCAGCTTCCCAGCCACTGTGCTGGGGCCGCGTGCACTGACCCCACCCCGTTCTTTCCCCAGTGCTGCCTTCTCTCACCCCCTTGGGGCCATCCTCTGACCCAGCCCGGGTACTGTGGCGAAGTCCCCACACAGCCACTGACCCACGCCTGAACCACAGGCATGTCCGCAGCCTCTCCTAGCAGGGCCCCGCCATCTGTGGAGCCGGAAGGATCCCATCAGGTGCATCGCATGGCACACAGTAGGCACCTGATAGATGTGGCTGTGGAGGCTCTGGCTGTTGTCCTGGGCATGGGCCCAGGATTTCATTGATAGAGCTTGAGGGACCCGCTGGAACAAAGAGGCCTGGGGTGGAGACCCGACACACCCTAGCAGTCCCACCGCCTCCCTGCCGAGACCTTCATGGTCACAGCGGCCGGCCTGGGCACCACTGAGGGAAGGCTGCCCAGCTGTGCCCCTTCTGCTTGCTCCCAGGCCCTGTCCCCAAGAGGCTGGGAGCGGCTGCCCTGCCCTTTGTGGGAGCCCAAACCCTGACCCCAGGGACAGGTGCAGCCTCTCAGACCTACCAGGGAGAGTCAAGCAGCTAATGGAGATGGTGCCCAGTAGGGCAGGCCCCTCACCCGCCTTGTTCCAGCCCCGGTATGCACATGAGGATGAGGTGAGGAGGGGGCTAGCCGTGGAAGGGGGTCCCCGAGGAGCAGGAAGGGGGCCGTGGCTGTTTGCCTCCAATGTGCATGCAGCACCGACTGGCGGGGCTGCGGGAGCCATGCATGCACTGGGTCCCCCATGGGGGTCTCCAACGCTGACACAGAGCAGCAGGAGGCGTGGGCGCACTCAGCACCTGTGACTGCCGGGCACTGGGCTGGGGCCTCCAAAGGGCCAAAGGTTTGGGGATCAGAGCTGTGCTGTTTGAAGCCAGCAAGGAGGTCTCTCTAGAGGGGAAGCGGCTGGTGGCCTGAGTCCCAGGGAGCCTCGGGGACTGCAGGGCCCAGGGCCTGCGGCATCACTGATGTCACCTTGGGAGACTCTTACTTAGTCCCAGGGTTGGCCTGAGCCACGCAGCTGTACTCAGGCCATGGAGGAATGGCCCTAACAAACTGACCCCCACAGTCTCCAGAGCATGGACCCCTAGAGGGCCTGGTCACAGCAAACATGGGCTCAGGACAAGATAATGAATGGCCTTGGAGATGTGCACTTAGCACTTGCTGCATACCTGCCCATACTCAATACACTCATGCACCCCAACTTCAGCCTTCAGTGGGGTGTTGCTTTCATACCACACCAGACAGCTGTGGCCTGCAGGGTCATCGGGAGAAAGATAAGCCATGGGTGGCAACTGGCAATGGCCAGGAAGATAGGAGAATGCCACTGCCAGGGCATGAACCCTGCCCTAGTACAGGTCAGGTCTGGAGAGAAACAGGGCAGGACAGATGACAGCTTCAGGTCAGGCTCAGTCTGGTCCCTCTCTGCCAGCAGGCGGCACCTACACAGCACAAAGCCTGCAAGCCTAGGTGCCCCAGTCCCTGTGGGTCCCCTTCTTTAAAGATTCAGAAATAGCCAGGGGAGAGTCCCTCACACCTGGGCCTTGTGGGGGGTGGGGGGTGGGGGAGTCCTTGGTTCCAAGGAAGGCCCAATGTGGCCCAAAGTTCTGCCTGTGCAAGAAAGACAGAGCCTGTGGGTACAGCGCTCCGAGCCCTGGAGGAATGTATCGGTGTGCGAGACTCCTGGACTCATGCCTCAGCCAGCTCTCCCACTTCCAGGTCTGCTGTGGGTGGGCTCGGCCTGCGGGCAGCGCCAGGTCGTGGTGGCCACAGCCTGGACTTGGGGCAGGCCTGAGGCTCCCCTCCAGCCGGCGTTGCCTCCTGCGCCCTCCTTGCTGTGGCTTCTGCCCGAGGGTTCCAGGTGCGGCCCCCAGGAGCGCCCGCAGCACCAGCCTGGTCTGGGTGGTGAGAGGCACCTGGGCATTCAGACTCCAGGATGCAGCTGGGTCAGAGTGGTGGGGCTGCAATATTCAGGGTCGCTGGCCAGGTCTGTAGGGGAGGTGAGAGTCTGGTGACCCCCAAGCCATGCCCCTGGTCTGGAAGCCTGCCCTGCCTCTCGTGCTGTTCTGCGGGATGGGGAGTCAAAACAGCTAAAGGAGGGGCTTGGGGCCAACCCCCTGAGTCTGGGTTCCAACACAAACTGGGGAGTCCAGAGGTCCCCCTGAAGCCCAAGGGGGGGGGCCCTGCCCTGTCTCCACTGCTACCCTGGGAGGGCATGAGGTGGCCTGGGCAGCCCATCTGGGTCGGAAGTGGCTGGGCTAGTCCCCACCTCATGGCCACTTCCTTTTTCTGGACAGTGGCAGGTGCAGGGGAGGTGGGGCAGAAGGTTGTGGGAGGAAAGGGGTCCAGGCCAGCCCGGAACCTGAGTGGCCTCTGGCAAGGTGATGCCCCGACTCCTGTCCAGCCTGGCCCTCAATGTGCCATCCTCACTCCCACCGGCCTCCCAGGTAGGCCTGTGCACCCAGGGGCTTCCCGGAGCTGGCCTTAGTGCCATGGGTGCTCCAGGGCCCTGGAGCTGTGGGGACCCCACCTCCTCTGGCTGGCAGGACATCACAGAGCTCCCCAGGGGCTGGCCAGTGGGGGGCAGGTGGGTACCCAGGTATGAGCTCAGGCAGCCAGCCGGCCCGGGGACTGGGCAGGCGCTGTGCGGACCCGCAGCGGGCGCTCTGTGGCTCCCAGTGCCCGGACACCGCGTTCCTTCTTTCCCCAGCCCCACCCCAGCCAGGGTGGGCACCACTGCAGGTGGGAAGGCGTCCTGCCTCGCAACTCCAGGCCCCCCTGACCCCTGGAGGACAGAGACCAGCAGGTTGCTCGTGGATGTGGTCAAGGGCTGGAGAGTCAGAGTCTGGCCAGCCTGTTCACCACCCTGATGGGTTCCTGAGGCCCAAAAGCCAGCCTGTCTGCCCCACCCACACCCCACAGCAGGGCAACCGAGTCACAGAGGGGGCAGGGACAGGGCCTCCAGCTGCGTGTGTGCCCTCCCCCGCAGCAGGCGTGAGCCCTCGTGCCAGCTTCGGGCCGGGCCTTCCCAGGGCAGGGGCGCCAGGTGTTCTGTGCAGACCTGGAGGAGGGGGGCCGGGCTGGGTGTGGAGATGGCACGGCCAGCACAGGGGCTGAATCCTGAAGGCGGGTCACCAGGGCAGGGCACGGCAGCAGAGGGTGTGGACTGAGCCAGGGCAGGGCCGAACAGGGAAGAGAAGTGGGACAGGGCACACCCAGGAAGGCACCCCGCCCCACCCACCTGCAGGGCGTCACAGCCCGGGCCCCTCAGGCTGCGGCCCTGGTGCCAGGTGCCCACCCACCTGCGTGGGTGCTCAGTCCCTGCAGATAAATGGAAGGAATTCTGCACTTTCACTCCCTGGCTAGGCTTCCCCACCCCCTAGAAATTCTGCCCAGACCCCTCCTGCCTCCCACGGCCTGGGGCTGGCCCGGCTCCCACCTCCCACTGACCTGGGCAGAGTGCGGGCTCCCGCCCGTCCCTATGGGAGGTGCAGCCACTGCTGTCAACCCACTCATGGTTCCCAGGGGGCAGGTGCCTCGCCCATAGAGGGTCTGCGCTGGCTGACCTGGGCGTGCTGGGTGCCGAGGGGCTGCCCAGGTGCCAACCGGGCCAGCGCGCACCTGACTAGCTCCCTCTACCTCCATTCAGAGGCCTGGCCAGGCTCAGCACGGGCCCGAGGAAGTTGCACTGGACCGTCTCGCCCCTCTCCACCCACAGCAGTGCCGGCCCCTGGGGCAGAGGTTCCACACGGTGCCTGTCTTCCAGCTGTGAAGTGGGGCCTTTGTCGCTCCCCAGCACGGCCACAAGGGGTTAATGGGGGACGGCAGGCCGGTGACCCCACCACCACAGGGCCACCTCTGCTCTTCCAGAGCCAGGCAGCTCTTTCTGCACCTGTGCTGGCCTGGGCCCCTCCCTGGGCACACAGCCCTTCTCCCAGGACCCCAGGCGATGCCCGCACTGGCCCGGCACCCCACCCGCCATCTCTCAGTCTCTGCCACACCCTGTCTGGCTGTTCCCAGAGTGGCCCTGGTGACAGATCAGCAGGGGAGCCGCTCCCTCCAGGTTTCTGGGACGCACCAGCCCTGTAGTCCCTCCCCTAGTCAGCCACCCTGAGGCTGCCCCAGTGGTAGCAGGAGATCCAGGCTTAACAAGGGCCGCCCACCCACTGCAAAGACCCTGCATGCGGATCCCCAGCCGCCAGCCCCAGCCCTGCACTTCTCTAGGCCTTCAGGGGCCTGGGCACCCTTCCTCCTGATGCAGCTAAACACACTGCTTCCCTGCTCAAAACCCTGCTGGGGATCCCCTTGCCTGTAGAGAAAAGGTGGAGTTGCTGGGCCTCTGTTATCTCAGCTGCAAAATGGGTTTCTGGGCTGCCCACCTGCCCCCATGGGGTTGGTGTGGGAAAGTGTGAATGGCAGGGAGGTGACATATGTGCTGGGCAGGTGGTGGGCGCCCGGCAGAGCCTCAAGGCCCAGCATGCCCTGCCCCTACATCCCCATCCCTGCACAGCCCTGGAGCCCCTCTGCCGACCCCTCGCCTACAGGTGTTAGTGCACAGCATCCCCTGTGCGCTGTTGGGCTTCCCCTGGGCTCGGCCTCTTCCAAAGGCCCAGAGCCCCTGGGCCAGGTCAGGGCCAGCAGGCCAAGTGACGAGAGATGTGGGGGCGGCTACAGCAACTAGCTCGGGCTTAGGGGGTGTCATTACAGGCCCTGGATCCCTGTTACTGGCCTCCCTCCTAATGCCTCAGCCTGTCACACAGGGGAGCAGCAGGAGGACAGGATGGGGGACAGGGGGCAGCTGCCCTCACCCCTGCCCGACGTGGGGCTCTGAGCAGAGATGGGCGTGCAGTCCTCCCCCTGAGGCTCATTTATGGATGGAGAAACTGAGGCTCAGGAACGCAAAGTGGCTGCCCTGGCCCCAGCTGCCGGCTCACGGGCTGGGGGTGGTCAGGACAGGGCTGCGGGGGCGGAGGTGGGGCAGAGGGACCTTACGGCCAGGCCTAGAGGGCCGGAGGAGCCGGGCCCTGGCGGAGGCAGGCCTGCTGCGGCAGGAGGAGAGGGCAGGGCTGAGCCAGGGGTTACGGGCCTCTGCAGAGGGTCTGCGCTCCTGAAGCCCCCGTCAGGACCCTGGAGCTCCCAGCACAGGTGACTCAGCTGCCTGCCAGGCCGTGGAGCCACTCAGCGAGGTAAGGTGGGTTCTGGAGTCAGGCTGGCCTGGTCACCACCCCCGCGGGTGCACTGGAGCAGAACAGCCCTGAGCACCAGCACCCTGAGACCGGCCCTGCCCTCAGCGAGCCCGTGGGCTCTCGGGGGCACTGGCCAAGCTACTCCTGGGCTGAAGGTAAGGTGGGCAGGGCCACAGAGCTGGGTCCCAGCACCACCCCAGTCCCAGGCCTCAGGCCCAATCTCTCCCTGTCTCTGCGACCTGAGGGAGGGCCTGCCTGCTGCGTCCCAGCCCTGATGGCTGCTCTGTGCTGCCCGTGACGCAGGCCATGGCCTCCACCTCCTGCCTCCTGGCTGGGCCCCAGTGCACATGCTCATGTGAACAGGACCACACGCACACACCCACACCCACACTCACGGTCAGACCGGTTCTACAGGGGTGGCTCCTGGCCTGTGGGTCAAGCCTGCCCTCAGCCCCGGTTTCCCCACCCAAGTCCTTTGCTAGGCTGGGCACATGAAACAGCCTCACTGGTTCAAGGGGAGTGGGGAGCAGGAAGAGGGCAGCCCCCAGCTGGTGGGGTAGAGACCCCCAAGTGGGGCTGTGTGGGCGGGCGAGCAGCCAGCACCCCAGGCCCCCTGCTTGGGCCCTCCCGGCTGGGGGGTGTGCTGGCCGTGCTCTCGAGCTCCCCGCCACCACTGCTCATCCTTGTCACCTGGGGGCTGCGGCAGACCCCGAGAGTCCCAGTGGAGCCGGCCTAGCAGGGCCCCTCCCTGTGGGGTGCAGGGTCCATTCACTCCCCATTACTTAGTTTCTTAGCTGCTCAGCCCATTCATCACCAACACAGCCCAGACTAGCCCCCAGCAGCCCCCACATCCCACCGTGACTCCTGAGGTCCTCTGGGGTTGGTGGTGCCGTGTGGGCCATGCGGGCCTGGGGGGTACCCCTCAGCCTTTGCTTTGGGTGTGTCTGGGAAAGCCCCCTGTGAGGCACTCTGAGCCAGCCTCGGGGCTGGACCGTGTGGGCATCTGTGTGAGGAAGGACAATGAGCGTGCACACACCTGGACAGGTGTGAGCCGCGTGCACCTGTGGGCAGGATGGTGAGTGCCAGGCTGTGTGTGGGCCTGTGCAGCAAACCTGGGTGGGCCCACAAGGACGCTCAGTCATGGTATGGAAGGCCCAAAGGTAGCATCCCACATGGGGCCTGTGTGAACCCATGTGCCCTGACCGGTGGCCTGTGGCCTGTTTGACTGGCAGGCCTGAGATCCGGCCACCCAGGAGGAGTGTGGGTGGCCCCCCAGGCCCAGCCTACTCCCAGGAAGTACGGCGTGCTCTCCCAGCCTGGGACCAGGGCTCCCCCAGCTGCTTCACCTCCAGGCC